TCACGTGTGTTCACGCACATAGTTGGCAATGCAAAATTGTGGAATATCACCTCAGGCTCCTCTCCCTCAGGGGCCTCTATCTCAGGGGCCTCTCCCTCCTCTCCGTCAGGTGCCTCTTCCTGGTCTGTTGTAGGCTCATAGTCTGGATCGCTGTTGTCTTCCATTTCTGAGACATCTTCCTCTATCTCCTCTTCATCTGGTTCAATCTCCTCTTCATCTGGTTCAAAAAATGTGTCCAGAGCCCCTCTCACAGAAAATCGCCTAATCGGTCGCCTGCTCATTGTGTCAATGAGTCAAATGTGAGCAAGGCACAAATATAACTGCTTGAGAGACAGTAAGGGAGGCGCATTTAGCGCGAGAAAGTGAGAGGTTTGTGTTTCTCGAGGGGCACAGAGCTCGCACCTGTGAGAAGGTATGATACATTGTATCATACAGCGCGAGAAAGGGAGAGGTTCCCGTAACGTGTGTGTGTGTGTGTGTGTGTGTGTGTGTGTGTGTGTGTGTGTGTGTGTGTGTGTGTGTGTGTGTGTGTGTGTGTGTGTGTGTGTGTGTGCAAGTGGTGATCATCAAGTGTATATGTTCAGAGGCCTAGTGTGGAGGATAACATAAGGTATTGAGGCAAAAACACAATATTTATGATTAAAACAAAAGTCATTCGGTCACTTTTGACCCGAAACGCAAGAGAAGGGTTAACTGTAAATACAATATTCCTTGACCACTTTGCGTCTCACAAAGACACACACGGCGGTTGGAACCAAAAATTTCAAATGTGGACTCATCAGACCAAAGTACAGATTTCCACTGTCTAATATCCATTCCTTGTGTTTCTGGGCCCAAACTATTCTCTTATTCTTGTTGTTCATCCTCAGTAGTGGATCTTTGCAGCACTGGACCATGAAGGCCTGATTCACGCAGTCTCCACTGAACAGATTGTCTGCTACTTGAGCTCTGTGATCATTTATGTGGGCTCTAATCTGAGGTGCTTTAATTTGCAGTTTCTGAGGCTGTAACTCTTATGTATTTATCCTCTGCAGCAGAGGTAACTCTTGCTCTCCCTTTCCCGGGGTCCTCATAAGAGCCAGTTTCATCATAGCGTTCGATGCTTTGTGTGACATAATATGGATTACAAGTTACAACAGTAGTCAAATAGGGTTATATGTGTTCTTTCATAGTTTTGATGTCTTCAGTATTCATTTACAATGTAGAACATCATTTAAAGGGGACCTATCATGCAAAATGCACTTTTGTACGTCTTTTATACATGAATATGTGTCCCCGGTTTTCCAGGGAACTCACCAAGTGTCAGAAAACACAACCCTCTCTATTTTCCTCCATACCCAAATCTCTAAAAAAGGGGCTGCAACGGATCTGATAAAAACTGATCCAGATTTGAACACTGTCCTGACGTCAGGACGGTGGCGCTACGGCTATTGGGCCAACTCCACCAATCAGGAGGAGACAGCCACGGCCATTGCCGTTCGTAAGCGCTGGAGACGCTGTAGTACATATGCCAGGCCTGTAGATGGTGCTGTTCTCACAGAATCTGCCCTTGCAAAAACAGAGCTAAAAAATGTCAAATTGAGCAAAATGAGGCATGGCTAAAATGCATGATCTGTTTGGTATTTTTTTTTTTAAATATGCCTTATATAGGTATGGTCCTACACTATATTATTCAAATATAGCATGATAGGTCCACTTTAAATAAATAAAAACCTCCGAATGAGAAAGTGTGTCAAACAGTCTGAGTCTGTATTTTCTACCCTGAAACACGTGAAGCATCGATCTGTTCTGACTGACAAAGAATTGCTTTAAGTGGCCAGGATACAAGCCAGATTTGCAAAGGATGTTCAAGGCAATGAATTGAATGCATTCCCACTTAGTTCAAAGAAGCAACATGCATAGTAAGATAACAACTGTTTTCACATTTTTAGAACTGAGAGTTTGTGTGTGAGCCATCTGGGGGTAAATTGACCAATAGACTTTTTTAAATAATATATTACATTACATTACATTGCATTTAGCTGACGCTTTTATCCAAAGCGACTTACAATAAGTGCATTCGACCAAGAAGATACAAACTTGAAGAAAACAGAATCATATAAGTACATCAGGTTTCATAGAGCCAAAACATTTCAAGTGCTACTCAACTAGCTTTAGATAAGCCAGTCCTTTATTAGTATATAAGTGCTTTGTTAGTAATTTTATTGCTCGAAGTGGAGTCGAAAGACATCAGTTTTTAGTCTGCGCCGGAAGATGTGTAAGCTTTCTGCTGTCCTGATGTCAATGGGGAGCTCATTCCACCATTTTGGAGCCAGGATAGCAAACCCACGTTGGCCGATGTATGGTTTAACCATGTCCTGGATGTAGGAAGGGCCAGATCCATTCACAGCATGGTACGCAAGTACCATTGTCTTGAAGTGGATTCTAGCAGTTACCGGAAGCCAGTGAAGGGAGCGGAGGAGCGGTGTGGTGTGGGAGAATTTAGGAAGGTTGAAGACCAGACGAGCCGCTGCATTCTGGATGAGCTGCAGAGGTCGGATGGCACATGCAGGTAGACCAGCCAGGAGGGAGTTGCAGTAGTCTAGGCGTGAGATGACAAGAGCCTGGACCAGAAGTTGTGTCGCTTTCTGGGTCAGGAGGGGACGTATCCTCCTGATGTTGTAAAGAGTGTATCTGCAGCAGTGGGTTGTAGCAGCGATGCTTGCAGTGAAGGACAGTTTGTTATCTAGGGTCACACCCAGATTCCTTGCAGTCTGAGTCGGGGAAACAACAGATGGGCCGATGTTGATAGTTAGGTCAAGAGTGGGACACTCTTTTCCGGGAAGAACAAGCAGCACAGTTGAGCTTGAGGTGGTGAGCAGACATCCACTGAGAGATGTCTGCTAGACAAGCAGAGATGCGTGCGATGACCTGGGTCTCTGAGCGGGGAAAAGACCGAATGAATTGGGTGTCGTCAGCGTAGCAATGGTATGAAAAACCATGCGGGCTAATGACCGATCCGAGCGAGTTTGTGTACAGAGAGAAGAGGAGGGGACCAAGGACAGAATATATAATTCTTTCTCTGCCACTACCTGCTTTGGTCTCTGCACTGTAGGGACACCTGTTTCGTCAGCATTATAAATCATGTTGGGAGGGAACTAATGCCAGTAAAACCTACTGGATCATGTGATCTCTTGCACACCTGAGAAGTGGAGTCAGATGTCTTACCTGGATTTCACAGCTGCTCTCTTTCACATGCGCTCCTCCCATCCTTCACCACTAGAGGTCGCTCTGATGTTATGTTGTTCTCATATGCCACTGAAAGCCACCTTCTCATATTCCTGGAGATTCAATTGTTTCCTTTTCAGCCGTTGAGCAAAGTAAAACAAAAAGAACAGACTGCAGCATCCTAAAATTCAGATTAATAAAACCTGGGTCCAAAGATGGCCTCTACCTTTAATTTAGTTAATCTTGATTACTACTGTCTTTACTAATTCAGACATGCACTGGGTCTTATAGAGAGCAGCTATTCTTATTATGAATTATTATAATTATTATCATAGCTGTCATTAGTTTTAAAAAAAGCTGCAGGTTTATGCAGTGCTCAATTGAAATCAATACGTATCAATACACGTATCAATTGTAATTGCCCAAAATGCATTTTCTTCACGCTCCGGATTCGCGCATCAGTGTATTGTTTTAATTGTAAGGAAATAATTGTTGTTTTTACACTTTGGACTGCATATTAACAATGTGAAAAATATTGATAAATGATGACAAACATACATTTAAATGAATATTTTTGAAATGAGGTGAGTTTCCTTCAACCGCCGGTCAACAAATTATATTTATCTTGCACAATAAAATAACACTAAAAACTCAAATGTTACAGGATTAATAACTCACTATAATATCAGACACTTTTTGCAGTCATTTCAATGATAATGTATAACCTGGCTATAAATATAATAGTGACACTAAAAGTAATCATAGGATATCAGATCCTTCGATCTTAAATTTACAAAAATATATGTTATCAGTAAACACCAGAAAGGAATAGATTTTAGCTGAAACGTTGGTACAAATTATCGAAAGAGGACAGAGTTATGGTCCAAAAAGGCATCCGGCTTCACATAAAAAACGACATTTAAAACTAAATATTAATATTAATTACATCAGTGAGGTTGTTCTTCATTGTCAGGGAGCATTTATTATTCTTATTATTATCCTATCGCCACTTTGCGCGCTGTGATGAAGTGTTCTGTGGCTGGTGGTGACAGGCCCTCCTCCCGCAGCCAGGTGAGGGAGGCCCGGCCGATCAGCCGCCATCCGGAGAAATGACAAGCTATCAATTATCCTCCCTCGCGCTCAATGAGAGCCCGTCCTGCCACACAATGGTGGCCTCAGAACCTCGGAACCCCAGTCAGCAGTGCCTCAGTACCTCAAAAAGAAAGAGAGCGAGAGTGAGTGAGTGAGTGAGTGAGTGAGTGAGTGAGTGAGTGTGTGTGTGTGTGTGTGTGTGTGTGTGTGTGTGTGTGTGTGTGTGTGTGTGTGGAGCAGTGATAATCTCTTGTTTGGTTTCTGAGGCTCTGAGACGTCTGACACCATTGGCCCGCGTCACCGCCTGTCCAAAGTGTCCCGGTGATTGGCCCGTTGCACGTGGATGTTATTCATGTCCCTCCGGTTAGTGTGTGTGAGTTTGTACGAGTGTGTGTATCATGGTGCTGTGATGTGTGGACTTTGTGAAGATCCGACTGTCATACAGCGGTGCATATCTCTGTGCGTGGAGCAGTGTGCACGAGCAGCTATAGCAGTCTCACCGTGAGCCGCCGACAATGACGCGCCGGAGCGCATTTACGCAAACAGGATGTCCACAGTTTGCTCCTAATTACATCAACCAATATTTCTAAAAGAACGCAACTATGTTTTAGTGATTCCTGTTGTCATATTGTGGATAAAAACAAAGGCCCGTGCAGTGGGAGTGGATTGAGGGAACAGCCACGTTCTTCAGAGAAGCAGCGATGGAGGAGCAGCGGGACCCGAGCAGCTCGGACAGCAGTGAGGGAGAGAGCGTCTCCCCGGATCCCAGCCTGCCTTCGCCGCCCATGCTACCTCTGCAGGTGGCCCAGCAGGCCCACAGAACCACCAACTTTTTCATCGACAACATTTTGCGGCCGGACTTCGGCTGCAGGAAGGAGCACGGCCTGGGCCCGCGGGAGAGGGCGCAGAGCTCCGGCCGGGAGCGCGTCCACCCGGCGGTCAGCAGGCCGAGCCTACCCGGGACGCCGTGCCAGGACTCCAACTGCAGCAGTGACAGCACCTCGTCATCCGCCTCCTCCACCTCTTTGGCGAGTCCCAAAAAGAGTAACGGCGGCATCAGCGGAGGAACCGCAACCTCCTCCACCGGGAGCAGCGGCCTGAAAGCCGAGGAGAGAACTGGCGGTGGGACCGGGGGGGACACGTCCTCTTCGGTAGTGGTGCTGAGCGGTTCTGGGGGGTCCACACCGGAGACCCAGCCGCTGCTGTGGCCGGCGTGGGTCTACTGCACCCGGTACTCGGACAGGCCCTCATCTGGTAAGGCAATAGTTTCATGAAGGAAATTCTCCGAGCGTGCATTTCGTTTAATAATGGAGGAATTCATAAATCCCGTTCATTTTTATCTGACAGAAACATTTACATTTATCCTAGGCTACATGTAGCAGTTTTCATTCAACAAAACAAGATTAGTTATTTTTTGAGAAAGTAAGCGGGAAATAATGTTTTTAGAAATGGAGATCACACTCTTGTGAGTTAGCTGACATGTTTTTATTATTATATCTTTATAACCTAAAATACATTTTGTGTCAAACATAGGCAGGTGTTTTTAATAGAAAATGTATTTTGTAACACTGGTGTTGTCAGGATAGAAGGACCTCCTTTTGATTTCTTAGAATAGTTTATTTCTGAATCTTTTAACTATTAAAAGTCCGGGTCTGTCGTGTGTTAGCTAATAAAAGCTCTATCATTCCGCCAACAGGGTTCAATGCAAACAAAAAAATATATAGTTTATATTTCACATGTTTATTTTAATGTCCCCTCATTGGAACAAGCAGTCAATAAAACATCCATACTGTTATATTGCATTTAATTAGCCTATTAACAACAACAGTAACATAGCCTGGGTGTTTTACATTTAGGCCACAACATGAAATCAACGTAAACGTTCTTGTTTTTTCCGCTTTCTCTGTGCCTTTCTGTTCTGGTATTTTAAACGATAAAATGTATGTATGTAAACAAAACAAAACTAATAATAACTAACCTTTAGATATTGTTTATGTTTCGTAAGTCTCAAATAACAAAATAAAAACACGCAGCTGGGATTTGTAATATGCACAAAGATAAATGTATGTTATTCGGTGTTCTGATTTATTAAATATCTTTCCTCTTTTAGATACAAGTACATGCAGGGACATTTATCAGGGCTTGATCTGATAACATTATGACTGTGGCAGCTCGTGCGCTGTGACACGTGCAGTCATCATTAGACAGGATAGTTATTGTGCGCTCACTGAACTGCTGCGAGGTAAGCATGCAGGGATCAAACACAATGGAATTAAAGGTAAATAATGTCTGCAGGAGACATTTTGAATCCATTAACTGCCTGTTGGATTTGGGTCTGACTTTAGCTGACATCACTTTAAATTTCACACACACACACACACACACACACACACACACACACACACACACACACCCACGCATAGGCCTGCCTGCAGAGAGTGTGAAACACACTGAGCTCATAAGGCTTTCTCCTAAAAAACCTTTATTTATGAAGCCCGTATTACACTCTGGACATAGTGTTATAATATGATGGTATGATATTATTTTTGTATTGTCAACTAGTTCGAAAAGAAGACAACATATCAAGTCTACATATTAATGTATGTGTTAAACAAAACAAGAACAGCTCCATATTTGATTCAGACCTGATGCCAGCAGTGTGAGTGCTGTGCCGCCAAACAACTGCAGTTTACTAAATCTCTGTAATATAGCATCTTTATTCATTTTAAGTCTGGAGAATATGAATATACTCAGTTTCTATCCTTTGCAATATTTTTTACCATATTAATGTTTTTAAATGATAAATTAGTCTACGAATAGGCAGTAATATGTAACCATTCAGTCTATTTGTGTTCATATGCCGGCAGGAACATAATTTTATAATTGTGTGGCGGCTATTCTTGTGTGCTTCGTGTATTACACAGCCTGCATCTATTGGAAGAAACCACAACACATATATTTCGTTATTATTATTATTAGGCTATTATTATTATACTTCATATAGCTGTTGTGTTTGCTACGAGATGTTGTATTTTATGTTGAAGTAAATCCCACCTAAGGCAGTTATTTATTATTATTATTATTAATATTATTATCATTATTATTATTATTATTATTATTATTATTATTATTATTATTATTATTATTATTATTATTATCTTCTTCTTGTTGTTATTCTTAATATCCATTGTTCGTATGCCTTTTGCGATTTACCGAGACGTTATAGATTATGACCATGTGATGGGACAATATTATAATAATTGTTATTGTGTATACAATAAGCTATTAACTTGAACAACCATAACGATGACTTTTCCAATACGTGATGGTACAGAAACAGCGAGTAAACAGCTGATGTAAAATCTGTCCAGACTCACATTTTTCCAACTATTTGTTTCCCATGATCTTTGTCCTCCATGTGCGCTGAATATTTATGTTTCCGTTCTCTCTCCTTTCGCCCTTACTGCAGGCCCAAGGACACGGAAACTGAAAAAGTCGAAAAGCGACAAAGAGGACAAGCGGCCGCGCACGGCCTTCACCGCGGAGCAGCTGCAGCGGCTGAAGACGGAGTTCCAGGTGAACCGGTACATCACGGAGCAGCGGCGGCAGGCCCTCGCGCAGGAGCTCGGCCTCAACGAGTCCCAGATCAAGATCTGGTTCCAGAACAAACGGGCCAAAATCAAGAAGGCCAGCGGCTTCAAGAACGGGCTCGCGCTGCAGCTGATGGCTCAGGGACTGTACAACCATTCCACCACCACCATCCAGGAGGACAAGGAGGACAGCGACTGACCCCCCCCCCCCCCCTGTACTCTGTAAATAGATATTCCTAATTTAATGATTGGGGGCTCCTCTCATGCACCTGAACACACCGCGGACTCTGGAGCTGCCCCCGCAAAACCAAAGATTTTATTGGCAACGAAGCCTGGTGGACACACGCAAACAATAAAAAAGAAGCAACATGCCCCCCCTCACCGATGGGCTGATGTCTCCGGGCTGCCCCCCCCCCCTGGCTTTATGTCCCTTGTGTATTGAGCGCACTGCATTGTGTCGGTGAACATCCGGGTCATTCTGTTTTGTTTTTAAAGAGAATTGAGATCTGGACAATCTTAATGAGACCCTTTATTACAATTAACTTTTATATTATTTGTTGATGAAAAGTATTTACAGTACATAATTTCTAGAGCAAGATAAATATTGAATAGACCAACGATATTTCGACGAACCATACCTGAAGCGTAAACAGTGCAAATAAAATGTATGAAATCGAAGTAGGCCTATTTAGGAGAAATGTAATTCATTTTCGGAGAGTGGGAATCCTGACCTATATCATCTCCTCAGTCCTGCAGCCTCAGTTTATACGGCCCATAATAATGCTGTGAGACGAATAAATACACAAAGGAAGTCGGCAGAGTTTACATTCATCAATAATATTTATTTTAAATTCCTGCGAGTGAAAGCTCGTGAGTTTGTAGTGATTCTTTATCTGTGGCACTTTTATTATTTTCTCCTAATGCGTCTGTCTTTGTGGCCCATGTCACTGTAGGGGATCCATATTTCCCCCACATTTTCACAGTGGAATGAGAAAGCTGCGCACGGCAGACTACGTGTGACTTGTTGGGGGGGGGGGGGGGGGCTGGTTGCTGTATACGTTGTACATTTAAACCATGTTTCCAAATAAACTTTTATATTGGAAAAAATGTTTCAGAAAAAACAGCGACCGATTTTTTATGGTTACAACTTTTCAATAAAATTGCGTTTGGTGTGTGTGTGTGTGTGTGTGTGTGTGTGTGTGTGTGTGCTCGTTGGTTTAAGTGAGTGGGACACCTGGATCCATATTCATATTGTGTCTCGGCCGCTGTTCGGAGTTGCGGAGCATGAAATTGCCTCTCTGTGTTCAGTCGTTTGATCAGCAGCCCTCTGCAGGCCTGAAACAACTCTGAAGTGTCGCAGCTTCGTGTGTGTGTGTGTGTGTGTGTGTGTGTGTGTGTGTGACGTGTGTGTGTGTGTGTGTGAGAGATGTTGACACCGTGGCTCCGGGTCAGGGCCCCTCTCCTCGTGATGTAAAACACGCCGAGCAGCCTGCACTTTGTTATTTGTATTCGTTTGCATCACAAACATATATTAGCAAGACCATCCCGACCCTCTAGTTCTCTTTTTTTATTTCCTCATTCCCCGCGTTTCTGATAAAGTATTTCGACTTATTTACTGTCAGAATAATGACTAAGTCTTCCAAAAAAACCTTTTAAAAATGCATTACAGTGAAGTATCCAAAGCCTTTAAACCGCCTGCATGCCGATTCACAAAAATATACAATTATTCATTTTGTATTTAATTACCAAGCAACACAAATGCAAGTGCAATAGTGAGTTTAAAGCTTGAGTTGTCCCACACAATGTAAAACATGTTGTACAGAAAAACACATGAATATTTTATTTTAAAATGATTTAATGTGAGTTTCTGGCAGTCCCTATAGCTTTTTCTTTTATCTCAATGATAAATGAATGAAAGTATTGCTCTAAATGACAGGAGGTGGCTTCGGTATGGCATTTTAGACAGATAATAATGGAAATAGATGTGTAACAGAGAGATGCCTCTTCATCAGAGAAGTACTCATCACCCTGAATATGATTCAAGACAAACAGAAAGAGTTTGCATTCTCCAAATATGTGTCTATAACATCTAACGATTATGTAATGAAGTTGGAAAAACATATTTTAGTATTTCTTTGGTCTTTCTGCATTAGAAACAGTTTGAAACTCTTTGAAACAGTTTCTATAAAACAATCTGTTTGTTTCTCCGTGAAGCCGCTCACAGTGCGGCTTCACCGTGAAGCCGCTCACAGTGTGGCACGGCCTCTGACAGCAGGCCACTGTGTCATTATTTTGGACCAAATGACTTATCGAGTGCGCATCTTCCTGATGAAACTGGCTATTTCCTGCAGCCTGGAGGTCATCTGTCATCCCCAGCTTCATACTTCCCTTATAGGAATGGTTTGTCTCTACTGTAATCACTGTGGAGCCAGGCTAACGAAAGTATAACCCCTCTTTAAAGAAAAAAAGGAAAGAAAAGAAAGAAAACAGAGGGTAACAGTGGGCTGAGATCAATTTGTCAAATCCAAAGGTAAATGTTGTGACAGGCTGACTGGATCTCTGTCTCTACCTGTTTGCTTCCACTCTGCTGGCCTCTGATCTATGGGGAACACAGACCAGTTTGCTCTCTCTGTAATCATCCCATATATTTCATTTATTCACATGCTACACCCGCTTTTCATGCATGCATAATTGCGCAATAAAAGCGAAGTGTGTGCATGTGTGCAATCAGAGTGTGATGACAATTTCAAAACAATTAGACACATTAACATTACCCTACCAATTACACAGGACAGTGTGTGTGTGTGTGTGTGTGTGTGTGTGTGTGTGTGTGTGTGTGTGTGTGTGTGTGTGTGTGTGTGTGTGACAGTGGCCGGCCCTGCGGCTACAGAGCAGCTTTCATTTACATGCTAATGATGTGATAAACAGAAGGCCTGCTGGATGTACAGTATCACACACGGGTTCCTTCAGCAGGGAAGAAACAAAAGGCTGTGACTGAGCAGGAGTCTGACCCAGGATCAGAGCAGAAGAGATATCAGCCACTTTCTTATTGACTCTCTTATTAATCTACAACTGTTCTTTACTTTTCCTCATTAAATAAAAAAGAAAGGCCAATGTTTGAGTGAGCTGGCTTTATAATCCTAAATGGTAAATCTTGATTGGAGGTGATTCAATTCAACACAAATATAGATAGATATACTATAAATATATAGACCAGGTAAAATGTTCTTATCAAGTTATAAATGTATGTTTCATTTTATAATTACATGTTAAAACATCCAATTATTTCATAAATTATTATAATTAATTAATAAATAATACAATACAATTAAATATTAGTTATACAAATTAAAGCTTGTTGAAAGAAAACTGGTTTTATTTTTCCTTCCAAAGAAATAACAGTTTTATTAAAATGACTTCAAGTCATCCTACTTTAATAGCACTTGTTTTGGGATTGACCATAAAGCAGCCTGGCTAATATGTGGTCCTTTGATTCATTTACTGAAAATGTTCCAAGCGGAATGTTCTCAGAAGAGTCACAGACAGATGATGTACACTGAGTAGGTACAGGAACACACTGTGGAGCCCTGCACACACACTGATCTCTGCAGCACAGTGTATGTGTCACTCAGAGGACAGTCTCTGAGGATCTGCTCCAAGCGGCTCTGACCGACTCAGATGTTGGCTGTTTGTGAACGCAAACCTTACTGTTCACCTCCTGCACCCATTACTCTTTGATCCTCAACCACACACATGCACACACACACACACACACACACACACACACACACACACACACACACACACACACACACACACACACACACACACACACACACACACACACACACACACACACACACACACACACACACACACACACACACACACACACACACACGGACTGTGTGTGTGTGTTCATCAGCTCCCTGTGTTAGTTTCAACCCCCCCCCCCCGTGGACTCTGTGTTTAGGGTCAGCAGCCCACCTCAGTCCACACCATGCTAACAGGATTAGCTCCTCCTTTACATGCTTTGAGTCCTCTGCTCCTCACAGGCCCCCCCCGCCCCGCTGAGGCGACGCCATTTTGATTTAAGCCAGCAGGTAGGTGAGTGGCACCAGAACACCCGTCTGCCGCCCATGTTTCTGATCCATGTGAGCCTGTGCTGGTGCTGATTGGAAACTGTTTTACAAACCAAATGTATCATGCTGCTGATGGACGTCCGTTACAAAAGAAACTTCTCTTAATTCTCTTCTTCAGAGGTGAGTCATTGAAAGGCTTTCTGGGCGACATAAAACAGAGACATATATTGAAGCTGTAATTGTCAGTGTCATGGAGCTTAAACAGATTCTTCTATCTCTGGTGTCAGTGACATTTTTACAATCTTTAATTATTTCAGGCTCCAAATTCAGAACATCCCATCATTCAAAACACACTCCCACTTCAATCAATCCACGAGACCCGCAGAATACCAAAACACACAGCGTTTTATTTGTTTCCGAGCAGCGCTGTAAAACTGTCTGTAGGCTCTTCTGGGCGTCCAGTATGAAAGGTTAAAGGAGCAATAAAAGTTACAGCATTGGCATTTTATAAAATCATCTGTTTGCAATCGCTTTTACCAACAATTGTCAAACAAAATGGCAGCTTTGCTTGCTGTGTGTGTGGCGGAAAAAAACACGTTTTGTTCTGAGACACTTGAGGTACACTGTGTTTACAGCAGAAATTAAATTGTTACTTTATCTAATATGATAAAAGTGATGGAAAAACAATGTCCTTCATTATAAAATCATCTCCTTATGCAGAGCAGTGACACCTTTCATTACTCCCTGTGGAAACATACAATTCTAAAAAAGATCACAAAATACAGATATGGAATAGAAAAGGTTATAATAATATAGACATTCTTTTACCTGAATTATTGTTCAATCAAAAAGGTAAATCAATAAATGACATTGAATTCATTTCAATTAAGAGGTAGCACATCATCCTTTAATGAAAACTGTATGCAGTATTTGGATACGTTCTAGAAGTGAGCTTTGATTTCAGAAAGCAACTCATATATTCATAATAATAATTGTTATTATTATATAATCATATAATAATAATAATAACTTTATTAATGTTTTCATAATGATAATAGTAATAATAATAATAATTAAAGCTGCAAGCAGCGTTGAGCGGGTCTTCGACGCTCTGCAGGCTGTTGTCCGCACGTCGAGGTGTGTAGGTGTCTCGAGGACTCGGCCGTAGATGCTTTACATAAGCCACAAATGTTGTATTTATCGTCCCAACGATCATCTGTTGTCAGTGTGTAAGCCCTCTCTGCTGTATCTCTCCATAAATATGTATGAGTGAGCGGGCTGCAGCAGATCTATGGAGGTGTCACAGATAGATAATACAGCTGAGAAATGAAATGGTGCTGCAGGAGCCTGCATGCACCTCCTCTGGACAATAACAGACACGCACT